TCTTGTTTTCTCTTCATATCTGTGTCCCATTGTGCTTTGAGACCTGAGGGAGCCACACACTGTAATTACCAGCCAGAAAATCAAGTTTTCCTGCCATGCCCTCCCCATGGGTACAGCCGTACCCTCGCCTTTGCTCAGTCCCCCTGGTCCCACTTCAGGTCTGGCTCATGGGGCTTTTTGGAGGACATTCAGAGAAGAAAATCTGTGAGGAAAGGAAGAGGAAACTTTCCCTCCCTCGGGTCTTTCCTAATCGTGGGATTTTTCGCAATAAAAAACAGGCAATGATAAAGTTTGGACAGGGAAGCAGCAAAACAACCCTCAGAGAAAGACAGAGCCCAAACGGGTGTTTTCGAGCAAAAACCAAAGGGATTTGATAACTGAAAGCAGTGCCCAGATGTGCACACACACCCATGGCATCCGGATGCTGCCCCGCACCTGGAGGGCTCAGATGGTGTTTTTAGGAGGCTCCACAGACACAATAAGCTCTTATTAGCGACTGAAGCTTTCCAATCTTCATTTTGGCACTTTTGGAAACCCTCCCGTGTCGCGTTCAGCATTTCCCAGCCACGACGACACCTCTAAACACCTTTAAAACTGTATCAGTGCTGGCTGATATTGCACACAGCTACTTAAATTAACAAGAAGATAAAACCCAAAACTCCCTGCCCAGTCTGAACTCTTCATGGCAAGCGTCTGCAGTTAAATCTGCTGATTCTGTCCTTAATTCACCCCGTGCTGGCTCAGCAGATGCAGCTCCGCTGGTTTCTGACAAGCCCAATGTAGGGAATTAGAGTAACGCCGCTGTCAAACTCGCACTCGAGGCACCGCGGATGAGAAATTTAGGATTAAAAACGAGGCATTAAGAGGACAGTAAGTTCAATCAAGATAATTCAATAAAACGAGCGTTAAATTCTATTTCCCTAAGTCTCAAATGCCCAATTCTTTCTACTTAAGCAGAGCTGCTGGGGAGGAATTGATGGAGCCCAGCAGTGCTCCCCAAACACGCAGCATCCAGGGCAGATAAACATGTAAGAAACCCTAGGACATCAAGAACAGAAAAGAATAAACCTGAAAAAAGTCTGTGATAGGGTTTTTTTAATAAGAGTTTTTGGACATCAAGACCTTTCCTGAATTTCCTCGCATGTAAAATGCATGAGTGGATGTGAGAGCTGCTAAAAGAGAGCAGAACCAAAAATAAGCTTAGGTTTTAGTAACAGCGGAGTGAACAAACGCTGCTCCTGACTATGCTCTAAGTTATTTATGTTATTTAAGTGCTGGTGGGTTGCACGGTGGGGTCCATTCATGGTTTTACACACCAAGTCCAGGAGATTGAACTTTTAAAGCAGCATAACTCCAGCCACAAAAAGGGTTTAAAAAGTGTAACTTTTGTGTTAATAAAATAACTGCACCTCAGCTCCACCGAGTCGGCTTTCAAGCGGCTGAGAGGCTGTCTAAGGAGGAAACCAGCTCCCACCCTGGCTTTTGAAGCTGCATGAAAGAAGTGATGTAAACCAGCTGTCGGCACAGGGAGATCACAAGGAAACGCTGTTTTCTGTGTAACATTGCCACACATCTCTTTGTCTTCTTCCTGCTTTTCCAAGAAGAATGAAAAGAGCCAGGGAAGGGATAGAAAGAATGAAAGAAAGGCCAAAAGCTGAAGGGGGAGGTCAGTGCAGGGAAAGGCGCGTTTCTGTCGAGTCTCAAAGTTTCCACATTTGAGCAAGAATCACAGAATCCCAGAACGTTAGGGATTGGAAGGGACCTCCAAAGCTCATCCAGTCCAATCCCCCTGCCGGAGCAGGAACACCCAGATGAGGTTGCACAGGAAGGCGTCCAGGCGGGTTTTGAATGTCTGCAGAGAAGGAGACTCCACAACCTCTCTGGGCAGCCTGGGCCAGGGCTCTGTCACCCTCACTGAGAAGAAGTTTCTTCTCAAATTGAAGTGGAACCTCCTGTGTTCCAGTTTGTGTCCGTTACCCCTTGTCCTATCATTGTTTGTCACCGAGAAGAGCCTGGCTCCATCCTCGTGACACTCACCCTCTAAATATTTATAAACATGAATGAGGTCTCCCCTCAGTCTCCTCTTCTGCAAACTAAAGAGCCCCAGCTCCCTCAGCCGCTCCTCATAAGGGAGATGCTCCACTCCACACAAGAAATTGTGGTGCTGCTCCTCTGTTTATGGATACTGTAAATAGAAGGCTGCAATGGGACAGAAACCATTAAAGCAAGCTAATCAGCATGGCTTGGGCACTGAATTCACCAGCCTGGTAGTGGTAAGAGTCCTTTTAGTCCAAAACGTGTTGGAAATGGGATATAAGAAAAGGAGGGCAGACAGAGGAGCAGGAAGGCACTGGGGCTACGTATGGGGCTCACCCACCCACTCAAATGGGTTTTTTTCTGAAAATTACTCATTTAAAAGCATCAGCGCTTTAAAAAGAGTGGAGTGATGCTAGCACGCTTTCCTTGAAGGAAAAAGAATAAAAAAACCCAGTTTCTTGGTGTATCCCTGCTACATAAACCATCCAGTTACCCGGCATGGCTTACAGAAAAGTTGATTACGTTTCAAGATGTGCGTGGAAGGGCACAAGAAAGGAGCTTGCACATTCTTAAGGATTTACCAGAGAGTTTGCAACTGCCAGAAGGAGATTAATACCATCCTTGTTAGGCCATGGGCACGATCCCAAGCCGTGTGTTGTAAAATGGGATCTCGGAGAGGTGGAGGAGCATCCTTGGTGGATCCCACAGCTCCCACTCCGAACCAGTTTGCTTTGTGTTGAGTGTTGTGTGCACAGACAGGAAGAAAAGGGCTTTGCATTCAGACGTTATCACCTAAATATTGCTTCTGATCTTACCTTTCGCTCTGTCCGAAGCAGCCAGGTGGTTCGGCAGGAAACGTCACACAAAATGAGCTGTACAGCAAAAATGTGCACGAGTCACAGCTGCGCCCCTCCAGACCTGCCCGAAACTTGAAACTCTCATAGGAGGTAAAAAGCTTCTGAGACAGAAGAGTGTGGGATGGGGTTTTTTTGGTACGTAAGACTGAAATCTTACTGGTTACAGATATAAGTCAATGGAAATATCATGTATTTATACCTGAGGAACCAGGGCAGAAGTGATTCACCCTCAAGAAAAGGACAAGAGGACAGTGCAGTAAATTAAGATTACTACCTGCAAGCAAACAACAACCGTAAAGACCTTTTAGTGGTAAAATGTTGAAGAACTAACAGAGATTTATGTTTGCTTTTCCTTCTAATAGAGAAAAAAAGCTCAGCAAAGCAGCCCAGGGAGTTATGAGGAGGAAGGAGGTATATTTTGCGATAAGCCTCAAACAATGTTCCTGTTGAGCGCAGGCACTGAGCTGGAAGAAAATAAAACCTCTGATAAAGCAAGAAATTCTGCAAAGACAGCACTGGCTCCCATGGCTGAGACAGGAATTAAAGAGACCCACGTGCACACAGACACACACAGTTTCCAGGACAGACTGGAGGGACTGGGCACAGACTTTTGTCCCCATTTAACAAGTAAAGGCTATCTTGTTCCCTAAGAAAAATTCACTTTCACAAAACTGACACAAAAAAGCGCATAGTGAAGCTTATCTGTGTGGGTCAGTTCATCACATGGGTTTGGGACAAAGTATCTCCCTGAGTTTGAGAGGAAACACCGGAATATTTGCTTTATCTTCCCAATTTTATCTTCTTTTCTAGATGCTGGTGGACAGACGCTGTGTGCTGGTGTCAGCTGAGAGCCCTGATAGCACCACTCACCATGTGGCTTCTGCAGCCTGGCCTGACCTGGCCATCCCCGTGTCACCCCACGGGCTCCACCCGAGCCATTCCCCACCTGGAGCAGGAGGAAGGGAAACACACAGGGCCCATTTATGAAAGAATATAAATTACTGAGGGTTATTTTGCACGTGCAGATATTTCTCCAGTAGGAAATGGCCATGACCAGCCACCAGGTACAGAAAAGACTTTTGAGAGCCACAGCACCAATGTTTTAATTCCCTGGAGACTCACTCAGCAGCTCTGCAGTCCCAAAGCGAGAGGCCACACAGTAACTGCTTTAAGTGGAAAAGACCTTGGGCTCCAGCGGCACGAAATGCAAAAGCTCAGAAGTAAAATGCACAAAAGCACTCGGCCCTTACCCAGCTGGAAACATCACCCAAGCAAAAAAAGATGCTTGCAAAGCGCTTCTGCCAGCTCTGCAACGCTTGGGTTAGGACTCCTGGGCTTTGTCCCCAGTTCCCCAATTCTGCTTTAGCTGCACACCAGCTCCAGAAGAAAACGCAGATGTACTCACCCTTCGCGAGCTGCACGAAGCCAAGAATGATGATGAGAGCCAGCGCCAGCAGCTTCGCCGCAGCGAAGGCATCCTGGACACGGGTGGCAGCTTTCACGCTGTAGCAGTTCACCGCTGTCAGGAGCACTGAGGGAGGCAAACGAGAGGAGATGCACATCAGCTCCCAGTCAAACGCTTAAAATAAGACAAATTCGCATTTGCTTTTTTGCTACAGCTTCAGCAGCCACTGAGTTTTTTCCTGAAATAGAGGCTTTTCAAAAGCAAAGCTCTGCAGACACGCACTTCTCTTTTCTGCCTTTCATTTTGGCACCAGGTGGTTTGAACCGTGGAGACCCTCCTTGGGACAAGAGCTGCCCTGCTTCAGCACAAAGCATGTTTCTGAGGGCATGGAAACAAAAGTGGTTGCTGCACCCATCGGCTGCAATCCCTGTTAAGTCGATCGAAAGTAACGCTGCAGGTGTGTGAAAACACCATAGAAACGTCAGGACAAGCTTCCAGAGCTGATATATCGTTATTTGTGTAATAACAGCAGCTAAAAGGCTATCAGGGCCACACCGTGCTGCCCGTGGCATAAGTATAAAGGAAGAGGTGACCTTGTCCTGAGCTGCTTGTCCCTGTCCTGACCCATTAGCAAGCTATGAGACAAAAACCACCCGCAGGTCAGTGGCACAGAGGGGAAGAGAAGCCAGATCTAAGGAAATCTTCATCCTCTGCTCATCTGGGGATGCCAAGGGGTCCCAGAGATGCTCACCAGGGACGTGCACCACAGCAATGGCAGAGAGGGCTGCATACAGCCCAGCTTTGCTGTGGCTGCTCTTGGACGTGATTGCGCTGCCTTCCTCACGCTCCATTTTTGCTTGCCCAGCAGCTCCCACCCCCTGCAAGCTGCTCTGTGGTTAATGCCACTAATGAAGCCTCATTTCCTGTATTTTTTTGCCCTCTTCCCCATCACCCTGCTCTGTATCTCCCACTCCTGCCACTACTCAGCGTGGCACTACCAGGCGAGGGACGGCACCAACTAGGGCTTGTCTAAGGCCACAAAGCTGCTGGCTGGCCGAGTTTCACCTGGCTTCAGATAAAATAATGCCCAAAACCT